CAGGAATAGCACTGAATAAACATCTTCGAATTCTTAATTATCTCATTCTTTTTTTAAACCCCTTCACTCCTTATCCCGGAAGTCATTTCTCATTCTTTATTCCTCAGAATCACATACCAGTCATGTCTCCCTGGGACCACACCCAGGTCACTGAACTTGTTCACTCTTCAGTAAATTCCTGAGCCACCTTGGGAATGGATTCCTTCAGCTAATGGCTGCTCTTAGCTTCCGGGCATGCTGATGTATTTCCCCCAGTTTCAGTCTGAGGAATTTCAAGATTTCAAGGTACCTTGCTATCTCATTTATGTATGCCGTGTCCCACTGTAATCCTTGAATGGCAGTCAAGTAACCTTTATAGCAGTTATCGCAGTGAAGCCACTTGTCTAGTTTACCGTATCTTCTGTTGGGCCATTTCGTATCTTGTTCACCCTTTCTTGGGTATCCAACTCAATACAAATTTAATCGAATTAATATAGTAGTTAATCCACTCATTTTAACCTGTGTGAAGAGAAGATTGAAGGAGAGTGGTTTGCATGTAATGTCCACAAGGATGGTCATATAAATAGTGCCTGTGCTTGGTGAGGAGTTGGTGCCTAGTTGTCTTGGCATGCCCCTGCCTGCAGTGGAGGTACCTGAGGATTGGCACTGGATGCATCCAGCCAGGGTCTTTGGCCAGAAACCTCCTTTGACTTGGCCTTTCCAGGCAATGTTGTTACAATCAGGCTTCCTAGGTAGTCTTCCTTTCTTTGGACAAAGTCCCAAATTCCTAATAATGCCTAGCTGTTCTGCTTCACATGGCAAAGGGATACTCCAGGCTCTTGTAAATTGCGTCACCTTGAGTCACTTTTGACGAAACCAGGCGGAGTGGGTGAGGACTGAACCCAGAGTTCTGGGTGTGTTTTATTGTAGCTGTCCTGAGGCTATTTTATGCAGGACCCTCTCCATGGTGTCTTATTTTCATATTTAATTAAAAGAGGATCTCTGTTCTTTTTTTTTTTTTAAATATTTTTTTTTTATTTGACAGAGAGATCATAAGTAGGCAGAGAGGTAGGTAGAGAGGGAAAAGCAGACTCCCTGTTGAGCAGAGAGCTGGATGCAGGGCTCCATCCCAGGACCCTGAGATCATGACCTGAGCCAAAGGCAGAGGCTTAACCTACTGAGCCACGCAGGCGCCCCGAGGATCTCTGTTCTGAAGAACTCTATAAAATTTCTAGAGACACACATATGGCACATTTAGGTGATCATAAAAAGCAAGAATTGGTTATTGAAGAAAATAACACATTGAAAAGCAGGGTGAAAAAGTTTTTAAAACAAGATGGAATGAGTGGTACAAAATATAAGTGCTTGTAATTGGAATGGTAGACCATGCCTACTGGTTTTTCGCTGAGGCCCCCAGAGGAGAGGAAGGGCAGAGAAGCAAGCGTTAGCAGAGGCTGAGAATGGTAAGAGGCCTGGCCCAGCAGAGGCAAGCCTAGCTGAAGGGGAGATGTTAGGAGAGATGCTTGGGTAGAGTTGTGAGGGTCCAGGTGGCAGAAAACTTAGGAGTTTCTGGCTGGACTAATTTGTAAGTGTGCAGCAGACGGAGAGATTTGTATAAGGAATGACTTGATGTGGTCACCTATTAGAGAGGATTCATTTATTGTAATAATCAGAAGGGCTAAGAGATTGCAGGCACAGAGAATGAAAGGGAGGTGCTTAAAGCTATACAGATACAGGTGTTTGAAGACAAATCGGTGAGGCAAAGTTAGGGGAACTTGAAAGAGTCCTACATTATGAATCGGTAAGGCTTGGCAATAGGATAAAAGGTAAAAAGGAAAGTGTATTAGTAAACAGTTGAGCAAATAGTAAGATTCTGGTTATGAAGATGCTGTGCAGAGTAATATGGTATGTTGCATGTATGTTGTCAGATATTACAGTGCTTTGCCCAGAATGTCGTGCTTCCACTTTTGGCTACCTCTCCTTACTCTTTAGGACTCTGCTCAGGGAATTTTTCCCTGACTCCCATCAAGCTCTGTTCCTGCAGAGCCTTGTGTCTACCACTGTCAAGCACTAACCATGACTGAATTTCTGTTGACTTGTCTGTCCTCAACCAGACCAGGAATTCCATGAGGTCCGGAACAGCCTCCAAGTAGATTCGGTATTCATGTGTTCATGGGGTGCATTATACGCTATTATATCTTCTTGTGCTTTCTCTGAAGTGTTGTTTTACTTATTACTTACTACACTATCGTCTAGATAATAATCAGCCATGCCCTAAAGAGTCAGCAAAGGTAATGATGAGGAGGGCCCTCTGTTTCTCACACTGGCTTTTATTGGTCAGATGTTTGAAGCATACCACCACTGTATTGTGTATCTTGAAGATACTAACGTGTACTTTGATTTCTTGATACAGCAAGTAACCCCAGGTGAGATAAATCAGCCTGATGTCAAGGTTTAAGTGTGTTAGAGCAACAGAGGAGGAGATTCTGCCGGCACTAACCCCTGTTACTATGCCAGGTTCCCTGGAGAAGTATAATACAGCATTCTCAACCTTCATTTCTCAACATCTTTCAGGGTGGATGAAAATGGAATGCGTTAGGAGGAAAATACTATTTTTACTCTTCTTTTACTTGCATAATTTTGCTTTAGAGAGTGTTTATATATATGTGTTTAGGAGCATCATTCTATTTTGGCCAGTGCTGGTGTTTTTCATTTAGTTGAACTGGGTGTTTTCTCTAGGAGTTGTGTTTGAAGGCTAGGAGGAAGACTTTTTGACTGAAAAGGATGCTAAGTTCTTCAAGCTCTTTTTAGGTAAATTTAAGTTGTCTGAGTTAGTGGAGATGTGATCAGCACTGGTTTTCTTGTGTCTAGTCTGGGGTGGGAGCTGCATCTCTTTTGGGTCACATCACACCCTTTCTTTTTTTTTTTTTTTAAAGATTTTATTTATTTATTTGACAGACACAGCGAGAGAAGGAGCACAAACAGAGGGAGTGGGAGAGGGAAAAGCAGGCTTCCTGCTGAGCAGGAAGTGTGTTGTGGGCTCCATCTCAGAACCCTGGGATCAGGACCTGAGAAAGGCAGACGCTTAATGACTGAGCCACACAGGTGCCCCACACCCTTACTTTTAAGGAATTCCTCTTTAGGTAGCCCTTCCTTCCTTTGTTTCTTACTTCCTTCTTCCTTCATTCCTTCCTTTTTTAAAGCTGCTTGGTGTAAATAGGCTTTGGGGAGCTTGAAGTTGTTTTTAGGAAAAAATGGTCTTTTGCTTTTTCCTCTTCTCCCTGTGCCTCCTGTTGGAAGGGAAACAGGGCTGCCCTCCCTGGAAGGTTGGAGGAGACTTTAGCTGTCAGTAGTTGATATTTTCGGCATGTGGTGACTGGGCAGGAAAGACAGTCCTTCCAAGTGGGGAGTTGGCCACAGGTGTTTGGTGTGGATGCTTCTGACTGGAATGGGCCTGCCCCAGGCCAAGTTATAGATTGCTGGATGTTAGTTATGGGTGAATGGGGCTCTGCAGAAAAGGGATGGGTGGGTTCTAGGACTATGACCCCGCCCTCATGGTATGAAACCTTAGCGCACAAGATAGCCCATGACCCAGATCCCAAGTCATGTCTGGGCTGCCACTTGGTAAATTGTTTTATTAATGGTTTTTGAAGAATCAGTTTGTGAACAGAAACTCACAAAGCTTAACTGGTGTCTCAGGGAGAATTACAGATTAGGGGCCTAACATTTGAGTTAATCATATAGGTCTCTTTTGTAGGTGGGAACAGAATACAGTGTATGATGGGTTTCTGCCTTTTTGGTCTGCTCTTTAGTAGGTCCATTTAGAGTGGAGCTTTGGGTTTCTAATTTCTATCATGTTCTAACACAGCGGTTCTCCACATTTTAACCCACACTGTTCCTGTGCTCTAGGCTACGAGAAACATACCACATTCCAATGCTCTGATTCCCAATGAGGGGGATCTTGGGATGTACTTTTCTTGAGGGGCTGGGTATGTACTTCTGACTTGAAAAGCCCTCCTCTCTCATCAGGAATCATTGCCCTGCAGTAAGATCAAGTTCCTAAAAATACCAAGGGAATCAGTAATTTCAGTTTGGGAAAGCTTTTTGGATTTCTTTGGAGAGCTACCTGTGCGAATATGACCAGGGAATCCATCTTTATAAGTTCATTGACTGGCTTTTAGTCTCAGGTCACTGTCTGCTAATAGAGTCTGGTAATGCTGGAGGTCTATTATCATGGGGAAGGAGTTAGCAAGAGCAAGTTGGGCCAGGTGTCTCTCTGTCTGGCTAGGTTAGGTTGGACCAGGCTGTAAGGAGTTGGGTGAAATAGGATTTGGTGTGAACTTGGGGGAGGAGCTGCTTAAACTTTTTTTTGATTTCATTTCCTCACAAGTAAAGGGGAGGGAGCTGGATCAGCTACTATGTCTGGTTCCTTCCTCTTGGAGCTTTGAATGCCAAAGGGTCGGAGATGGCTAGAGGAGATAATTGCTTTCCTAATACCCCATTTATTTTGTTCCTGCAACTCCAGGTTATTTGGCTTTTAGGATTATTTCAGCAAAATTTGCCTGAGAAGCATAATCATGCCCAGTGCAGTGTAAATATTCACACATTCAGGCACAACCTCATCCCCATCCCCCATATACACATGTGAAATATGAATCTGCCTGTAGTGAGGAAGCACTGTGCTCGTTGCTGCGTGTTTCTTTCTGCTTTGCTTGCTGCCAGTCAGCTAAACAGACTCCTGGAGTAGTTGTAGTGATAATGTCACTGGAACTAGAGAGGAACGTGGCACCTTTAGGAGACCTACTGATTCCTGACTTTGCCACCCCTCCCCCTTTGAACCTGTTCTGTTAAAGATTGCACCTAATTATGTATCTTTGGTCTTTTTGCTGTTTACAATTCAAATGCTACTTAAAGCCAATTGTTTGCTTTTGTATGCTGTAAATCCTGGGCTGCCATCTGAAGCACAACTTGATGATTGTGTATTATCATCTTGGGTTAAGTGCTGTCTCATTGCTTTGCAGGCTGCCTGCTGTTTCCCGGGGAGATCATGAAACGAGGTCGCCTTCCCAGCAGCAGTGAGGATTCTGACGACAATGGCAGTAAGTCCTGCTTTGTTGTTCTTGGAGCCTACCCGGGTTTGGGTTGGTGTAAAAACATGATTTTTTAATGTAATGCTTTAAATAGCTGAGGCCCTTCACATATCAGGCAGGTCAGAGAAAGCCAAGGCCTCTGAGTGTGAGACTGCAGGTCTGTAACCAAGTATTTCTGGTAAGGTTGACTGCAGGCGGGCATTCCTCAGGCTTCCTGTTTGTTATCCAAGGATGAACAAGCCAGTTCCAAGAGTCACTGGTGTGTCTGTTTTTCCTAAACATCATTTATGGCACTTAGACTTGCTATTTATGAAAAGGGAACTTAATTGAAGCCAGTTAATTATCAACTAGTCCAACCTGATACAGGGGTAGATTGAGTGTGATGTGTGAATATTAAGTATAGGTTTTTAGTGAGGCAAGAGTCCATGGTCTTCACTTGACTTTTAACGTGACTGTATTTAATACTACTCCTGTCTGCATCTCTGCTCTCTGGCATCCTCGTATTTTCACAGTGCAGCTGAGAACCAGAAGTTGGCTTCCAGGCAGTCAAAATAAATGTCATACAGCTTCTGTGTATTGAGAAGCTAACATACTACTCGAAGAGTTCTTCTCAGATAACAAGGGAATTTTGTACCTAGCACAGTGCCTGAGTTCCAGCCTGTTGGCTTATGTTTTAGGTTACAGATGAAACTTGGGAAACCTGCTTGCTCTGCTGCATGATGGGAAAGGTATTAGGCCTGCTTTCAAGGAACTCTGCTTAGACAAACATAAAATCTAGGTCTGACAGAAAGTCATTAGGGGAGTAACAGAGATGTCTTTTTGACGCTTGTTGGAAATGTATATATATATATATATGTATATAGGCACAAATTTAGAGAACAGGAGAACCAGGGAAACACCAGGATTGACATTTGGGCAGGTCCTGAAGGATGAAATAGTTTTTAGGCAAACAGGATTGTTTTCCGTTTTCTGGTCTGGAAGTCTTCAACAGAGTAAAAGCTGTAAATTATAGACTGCAAGCCTTTGCTGCTAAAGGTGGCCACACTGACAGCCATGAGAAACCTACTGGAAGAGACCATGAAAACCAGAAGACCTCAAACACGGCATTCTTTAGGGGGCTTTGGGGACAGGTGTGGGGCAGTGGGATGTAGATTTGGTGGCTGTTGGAGCAGTGTCGGGTGTTTGGGGTACATGGAGTGTTAAGTTGTGACAAGATCATGAAAGGCTGGGTTTGACGAGCTAGGGGATCGGGGACTTTGGGGGCAGATGGTAGGAGCTGCTGATGTTTGGCACAGGGGAAGAGTTAACTGGATGAAGGAAGGAGAGGCATGGAGGTTTGGGGGCTGCAGAGAGCAGGGCTTCCCTTTAATTTCAGGGAAAGGTGTTGAGGGTCGGTGCCCAGGCACAGGCAGCTAAAACCACTTGGGAAAGCCCTTAAGAGAGCCTTCTGAACTTCTTAGCGCTTGTCTGTACACAGCCCTCACTACCTGTTTTTTGCTCTGATATTTACTTAGGCTTTTTACTCCTTGAGGCAAAAACATGCTGATATTTCTCTTCTGCCCCCTGTGGTGCCTATCAAAGTGTCCTCAGGAGTCATAAGTACTCAATAAATGCTTGCTGTTTGCTTGAATACACAATTTTGTCCTATAGCAATTTTAAAAATGTCTTGCTTTTTAGGTTCAGAATTAATCAGAAGAAGGTTTCATGAATTACTTTCACATACTAATAATGCTGGATACAAGGCTTGGAGTCCTGTTTTAATATATTTTTTGGCATTGAGCAGCAGGTTTATGCTCACTGTGTTTGCTCTTGTTGCTGCTTCATCTCTTCCCCGAGAGAGCTGGGTTAGAGGAGGTTCTCTTGGAGGCACCTGGCTGGCTCAGTTGGTAAGGCATACAACTTCTAGTCTCGGGGTTGTGAGTTTGAGCCCCCGGTTCGGTATAGAGATTACTAAAATCTTTTTTTTTTTAATATTTTATTTATTTATTTGACAGAGAGAGACAGAGCAAGAGCGGGAACACAAGCAGGGGGAGTGGGAGAGGGAGCAGCAGGCTTCCTACTGAGCAGGGAGCCTGATGCGGGGCTCGATCCCAGGACCCTGGGATCATGACCTGAGCCGAAGGCAGATGCTTAACCGACTGAGCCACCCAGGCGCCCCCCCTGAGATTACTAAAATCTTAAAAGAAAAGGAAGACAAGGTTCTCCTGGAACATTCTCTCAGACTTACAGCCTTTCCCTCTCTGGTCTAGAGCTGCCCAACAGGATGGAAATGTTCTTATCTGCTGTAATTGAGGAACTCTGGGTTTTAAGATTTTGCTTAGTTTTAATTAATTGAAATGTACATTAAAAGAAGTTGCATGTGGCTACTGACGACCATGTTGAACAGTGCAGTTCTGGGCCGTGGCCCAGTCTACTCCTCCTCAGCTGCACAGAGGCTCCTGATAGCCCCAGAGGCCCTTGTGTGGGTCTGTTTGAGCTGCCAGAACAAACGGCCACAGACTGGGTGGCTTAAGCAACAGGTAATTATTTTCTCACGGTTCTGGAAGTCTCATATCAAGGTGTCAGTAAGTCTGGTGTCTTCTGAGGCCTCTCTCCTTGGCTTGCCTTCTTATTGTGCCCTCACACGATCTTCTGAGCATGTGCATCCTTGGCATCTCTGCGTCTAAATGTCCTCTTAAGGACATCAGTGAGATAGGATCAGGGTCAACCCTAATGACCTCATTTTAGCTTAATTACCCCTTTAAAGGCTTTTATCCAAATGTAGTCACATTTTGAGGTACTGGGGGTTAGCCTCCAACATAAGAATTCTGCAGCCCTAGAGGACCAGGTGTTTCATCTAAATAGGATTTTCCACTTAGAACTCTTGTTAGAATGGAAGGAGGAAAAGAGTGCCCAAGTTCACCAAAATGTGTCCATCAAAAGTCACCTTAATGGGGGGGCACCTGGGTGGCTCAGTGGGTTAAAACCTCTGCCTTTGGCTCAGGTTGTGATCCCAGGGTCCTGGGATCGAGCCCCGCATAGGGCTCTCTACTGGGCAGGGAGCCTGCTTCCCTTCCTCCCTCTCTGCCTGCCTCTCTGCCTACTTGCGATCTCTGTCTGTCAAATAAATAAGTAAGTCTTTAAAAAAAAAGCTACATTCCTGTCTGTGCTGGCCTCCCTGAAGAAGGTAGAGTCAGAGCATTAAGGAGCATTAATATTTACAGAGGGCTGGAGGGTTAAACTAGGTAGACCACAAAGCTGGGTTCTGTCCTACTCAGGCTAGATGAGGGGATCACGACAGCGCTACTAGAAGGTGGGTGGGCCATCCTTTTGTCATATAGTTGGTTCAGTATAAAGTGTATGTTGATGCTCTAGTACTGGACTGCCTGTCCAGGCTTAATGATTTGGTAATTATAGTAGACGATGATACAGTAAACAAACAGGTCTCATTAAGAACCCTTGGAGTCCCAAAGCTTATAAAAATACGTACATATTGACACCATGGAATACCCTTTCAAACCCTCTCTGAGGGCAGTTGCTTCACAGCAGAGGCCTCTGGTACCAGATGGCTTTGTGTTGGAGCCCATCTTTTTGTAAGCCCATGGTGGTCTGATTGGGGTGCTTTCTGCCCTTGCAGTGCGGTCCCTAGAACCAGGCCCGCCCTCAGGGAGGTCTGGACACTTGGAAAGTCCTGATTGCAAGAAGGGTTGGGTGTGTGCAGTGGCTGCGCCCCAGCCTCTCCAGCCTGCAGCCCTGACAGAATTTTGGCAGCAGTTCCCAGCCCAATGCAGAACTTGTCCAAGTGGAGGAGAGGCAGCTGTAGACGTCAGCGTGGGGCCACAACACCAGCCGCAGCCACGGCGGGGCCCTGCTGGCCTCTGGGCTGGAGTCCTTTGCTTTGTTTTCTGGCCTGATCCAGGGGAATACCAGTGTGGTATTTACAGTTGGGGATGGATGGGCATTTTCTGTGCCAGTGCAAGCCCTCATCCAGCTGCAGTTGGAGTTGTTGAAGCCTTTCTCCAGGTGCCCTGTGGAGGGCTGGCCCTACAGTTAGACGAAATAGCATTGGGGTGTTCACAGGCTGTGCCTGTAATAGCTGGGCTCCTGGGACTGGGTGGCCCTCACTAGGTTGAAGTTACATATTGTGCCAGGGTGTGGCCCCGGGAAACAAGCCCTTCATTTCCTGCTTCCCAGCCCAGGATCCTCTGTCCTCTGGAGTTTTGGCAAATGTGGGAATGGGATCCGCCAGCTATTGTCAGTATTTCCAAAACCTGAAGGAGATTGCATTTTTATCTTTGGTAAAGCTGCAGAGGCTAATTAAAGCATTGAGTGTCCTTTCTTTTGGCAGGAATTATGGATTGTTATCTCAGGCCAATTAACAGCTCTGATCACCATTCTTCTATTTTTTTTTTTTTCTGTAAAAGTAAGACAAGAATTAAATATTACTTAATGAATACTGTCCATTTGGCACACTTTTTTTTTTTTCTTTTCAAAATATGGGATTTTTGGCTGGAATAAGGGAGCCAAATGTAAATGATGTTTTTGGGTTTTTTGGGTTGTTTTTAAATGTGCCTCTCAAAGACAACAGAGGGAAAGGGGGAAAAGTTATTTATTTATTTATTTATTAGGAATAATGAGAGAAGTGTGCTGACACTTGAAAGTTTTTCCTGAAGTTGTGAAGCAGAGCTTCCTTTTCCTGTTGAATTTCATAACTGTCAGGACTGGGACTTCCCTGTGGGAAGGCCTGGAGAGTGTTGCTGGGGGTCTGGAAACAGGTGCCTTGTGGACCCTCTGGTCACCTAGTTTCCACACCTGTACTAGCCCTGAAACATGTTGTCTTCTCCAGTTAGCAGCTGAGCTCTGCTCCATCGCCTGTGATGATAAATGTGCAGAAAAAGAGTGCTGAGCAAAATTCAGATCTACTAATTTTGCATTTAGTAACTCAGGTTGGTGAGTGGTAAACATAAAGTTATGTGAGGACTTTAGTTTTTCTCCAGCTTATAGGTAAACAATGAGAGAACAAAATTTTA